ATGATTCTTTTGGACAGTTTGATTCAATTAACTGATTCAATTCACTAGTTCGTTTATGTAATCATGCAATGACATCACGTATACGCAATTATATTATTAAAGCAGCCAATAATGATGTGAAACATGGATGTTTTCCATGTCTAAAGCATATAAAGTGAATAAACTAGTCTTCATCAGCTCACCTTTTTACATATACCATTAGAAACCATAAAAACATTAATTTCGCCCCTTAATTCAAGTGTTCGGTTCATGAATGCACATATGAACAGCTCATCGCTCGGTCCGAGTCAAACGGTTTCCTCAGTTCAGTGATTGTTGGAGGAACTGGAGCGCTGAATCAGTTCATTCATCACAGGATCAGATCCGCCGCTATTTTGGCTCATTTCCAGTCGCAGTGACTTTCAAGGCGCCTGAAACTGAGTTTTGATTGAATAACTTGTAGATCTGTGCTGCTTGAGCCACAAACTGATTCAAACGATTCAGTCCGATTTGGTGAACTTATTCAATTAGTTCACTAAAAAGAACCTGTTCAAAAGAATGATTCATTCACAAACTGGACCGTTTGCCTGAGGCTCTGGATTACAGTAATAATGTTGTAAATGTTCAGTTTCTTGCACAGACCAATTGATTCGCTTCATAAGACCTCAATATATCGTTAGGAGCTACGGGGATTAATTTTGCATTGCATGTTTGTTTTTTTGTTTTGTTTTTTGACTCTCAAAGTCCTGGTAGCCATTGACTTGCACTTTATAAATCACCAAAGACCACAGTTCCAGCTAAAAATCTTCTTTACTGTTCTACTGAATCCAAAAAGTCACCCACATGTTGGATGGCCTGAGGGAAAGTAAATCAACAGCACATTTTCATTTTTGGGTGAGCGATCACTTTAATTGTTATATGTGACCCTGGAGCACAAAAGCAGTCTCAAGTCGCTGGGGTATATTTGTAGCAATAGCCAACAATACATTGTATGGGTCAAATTATGCATTTTTCTTTAATGCCAAAAATCATTAGGATATTAAGTAAAGATCATGTTCCATGAAGATATTTTGTAAATATCCTACCGTAAATATATCAAAACTTAATTTTTGATTAGTAATATGCATTGCTAAGAAATTCGTTTGGACAATTTTAAAGGCGATTTTCTCAATATTTTGATTTTTTTTTTGCACCCTCAGATTCCATATTTTCAAATATTGTCCTATCCTAACAAACCATACATCAATGGAAAGCTTATTTATTCAGCTTTCAGATGATGTATAAATCTCAATTTCGAAAAATTGACCCTTATGACTGGTTTTGTGCTCCAGGGTCACATATTTGATTCATGAATTGATGCTTTCTTCTTTTCTCGTCACTTACAATCATCCAGTCCGTTTCTTCCACGTTGTCCCCATGTTTGCTCTTTCCGGCAAAGCCCTCGGACACAAAGAGGGTTGTGTGCACGTGTGCCAATGACAGGAAGAGCAGGAAAGGCCAGTCTCTGTGTCTGACATCATAAATCACACCATTCATAATCACCTTAAACCAAAGCCAAAGACGTTTCCCACTGCAGGCAGATGAAATGAGTGCGTGGGAAACACAACCAGACGTAAAGCTGATTTGTTAGGACAAGTTTAATATTTTCTGCATTACCACATGATGAAGCAGGCATGCATGCAAATCACGGGTGAATCTCACCAAACACGTGCACAAATTCAACAGAAGTAAATAAGAAATTTTAGTCTGAATGAAGAAAATGAAGCTTTATTAAAGTGCCCCTATTATGGATTTCTGAAAATGACCTTTCATGCAGTGTGTAACACAGCTCTAAGTGAATGAAAACATCCTGCAAAGTTTTAAATCTGAAAGTGCACCGTGTATAAAGTTATTGTCTCTCAAAAGAAAGAGTCGACTCTGAATCATTTAAACGAGTCGTTTTGAAAACGAATCCCAAGCCACTTCATGTCGACGTCAACATGAAACATTAGCATATTGCCCGCTCACTAGTTGGTGTTTTCGTGTTGGTCTGAATGAAAATGCAAATTCATTCGTTGCCACTAGGTGCCGCTTTTGGAGCGGTAAAATATCTGTTTCCCCGGTAATGCTGTACATAAAGCAGCACTGCGCTCACAAGCACTGCTTTATCAGGCATTACAGGCGAGATCCAATCCGACCAATCACTGCAGATTAGCGTCACGCAAAGCAGGGGTTTGGAAAAATGAATCGTTGAGTGAATCGTTTGGGAGTCGTTAAGCAAGTGAAGTAAAAATAAATGCATATTATAAGACAATGAAAGTGTTTTTGACCTTGCATGCATGTCAACCTGTTGTTGGGGACTCCCAAAACCAAACTATGAACCTTTCATTACCTATAATGTATTTACAGAAAACAAATCAAATTTTTATTACTGTAAAAAAAGACCATAAATTGTATGTAGTATTTTACAGTTCAATTAATATCCATTTTATTGCAGTATTACAAAAATATACCTATTTTATTACAGTAAAATGAGATAGGTGCCGGTTGGTTGCTAGGGTGTTGCTAGAGTGTTCAGGTGGTTTCTAAAGTGTTGTTAGGGTGTTTTGGGTGGCTGCAAAAGTGTTGCTAATATACTTAAAGTAAGTATATTAGAAGTTACTTACTAATATATTTACTTGAAGTCCCCACTTGAAGTACATGTAAATATTTATAGTCATATCATTTATATTATATATAAATATATTTAATATATAAACATAACATATTTGTCTTTCCGGAGCTTCAGGCGGATCCGCAGCAGACCGCGAGCTGCGTGAGGAAGGCCAGCGTTAGCAGCGCAGACGTCTGCCGCAGCGTCTCCTGCACATCCTTCAGCACGCCTTTCCCCGCTCCGGGCCTGCAGTCGCTGAAGAAGGTGAAGGGAAGGCCGTAGAAGAAGTCGAAGCCGTGATTGTTGGGATGATGGCAGTGATCATTCCTGCTCTCACAGTTCACACCCAGATGCTACTTACCTGGAGAGTGAACACATTCATTCATTCATTCATTTGTTGTGTATTTTAAATTAATTTTTGTTATTTTTGTGCGTATTTTATTTATTTGTTTGTTTATTTATTTATGTGTATTTTATTTATTTATTTATTTCGTGTATTTTACATATTTTGTGTGCATTTTTAAAAAAATGTTTTTATTATTTTTGTGCATATTTTTTATTTATTTGTGTATTGTATTTATTTATTTATGTGTATTTTATTTATTTATTTAATGTATTTTATTTATTTTGTTTGTGTGCATTTTTAAAAAAATGTTTTTATTATTTTTGTGCATATTTTTTATTTATTTGTGTATTGTATTTATTTATTTATGTGTATTTTATTTATTTATTTATTTCGTGTATTTTACATATTTTGTGTGCATTTTTAAAAAAATGTTTTTATTATTTTTGTGCATATTTTTTATTTATTTGTGTATTGTATTTATTTATTTATGTGTATTTTATTTATTTATTTAATGTATTTTATTTATTTTGTGTGCATTTTTAATTCATTAATTTATTTTTATTATTATTTTATTTGTTTCTTTATTTGTTTTTGTTCATTTTCCCCCCTCCATTTTTCTGATTTCTCATAATTTATTTCTCTTTTTATTTCCTTTTTCCCTTAGTAAACATTAATTACTAATGTTATTATCATTAGTACTTTATTTTCCTGCTCTTGCAGTTCACACCCAGATGCTACTTACCTGGAGAGTGAACACATTTATTTATGTATGTGTATATATATATATATATATATATATATATATATATATACGCACTACCGGTCAAAAGTTTGGGATCAGTAAGACTTGTAATGTTTATATTACGTAATATAATAGTATTATATTTGTGTATTTTGTGTGCATTTGTATTTAATTTATTAATTATTTTTGTGCATATTTTATTTATTTATTTGTTTTTTTATTTATTTTGAGTATTTTATTTATTTATTTTGAGTATTTTATTTATTTATTTTGAGTATTTTATTTATTTATTTGTGTGTATTTTTTAATTAATTTATTATGTTGTGCATATTTATTTGTTTGTTTATTTGTGTATTTTATTTTTTATTTAGTGTATTTTATTTATTTATTTTGTTTGTATATTTAATTAATTATTTTTTTTATTTTTGTGTGTATTTTATTTGTTTGTTTTTGTTCATTTTCCCTCCTTGAAGAAAAAAATGAGAAAAAAAGTAAACACACCCTAAAGACTCCTAAAAGCTAATAAAACGATATGCATTATATATTTCACCTCCTCCTGCCTGACTGATGTCCTGCCCTCAAATTAAAAAGCGTGATTTAAATGTAAGAGTCATAAAACCAAATGAGATAACTCATGAAAATACTGCCAATAACATGTAAGAATGTGAGAGGGAAATGTGCTTATTTGCCTGGAAAATAATGTCACAATGCAAAATATCTTTAATAGATGGTTCACCTAAAAATTAGCATTTAGTTTTCCTCGTGTCCAAGCCTGAATTACTTTCTTTTAGGGTTATTATCAGTAACTAAATCTGAAACCATAAAACATTTTAGTTAATTGAAATAAAATAAATACTAACTTTAACGTTAACATGAAATTAAAAAAAAAAAATTTTTACAAATTCTAATTTTCATGTAGTTTAACTTGAACTAATATAATAACTAAAACTGAAATTAATAATAATAAAAAAGTTAATGTTAACTAAAATTAAAATGAAGAGATATATATATGTGTGTATGTGTATGTGTATATATATTGCTCTGTATCATGAAATAATATATATATGCATTATATCACTATGTAAATTACTGTTACTATTATTAGTAACATTATTTTATATTTTTATCTACATTTATATTTAATATATCTTAGAATGTTTTGTTATAAATAGCTGAAATAATAAAGGGTACTTTCTCCAAAGAAGGTTAATTGCTCCTAAAAAAGACATTTCATGTATTTGCAGTCCTGGTTTGTGTTACTGCATTATGCAACTTTGTGCAATAAAATACGCACATAGTCATTTAAATGTAACCACCCTTTTATTCAAACTCAACAATTATTTACAGGATTTAAAAAACAAAAACAAAATCGAAAGAAACGTCCTACGAATTCAATTTGGTCAGACAACACAATTTCAAAGTGAATCATTCCACGGTGTGAGATCAGCTTTTTTTTACAAATCAGACAAAACTGCGATTAATGACACAGTAATTAAACTAAACGACACTTTTTAAAGTAACGAAATGAAATGCCTCTCCCAAAAGGCTGTCGAATTACACATGCATGCACGCACACACACATCCCATCCCACTCAAACTATGTGAAAATACATTCAAAACAATTCTTAACAGTCCTAGTGCTGGTCCAGAACTGTAGTCGAAGCAGTAGGAAGATGAGATATTATGAAAAAGGCCTTAATCTGTGACGTTCTGTACTGTGAATGTGTTTGTGTACGATGTAAAGCAGTTCACAGTCGCTTCACTGGACTCGGCTGCTTCACTGCTGGAGTTAGGATGAGTTCAGGAGAGTGTTTAAAACTGCAGATGAAAAACAAAACCATCACAAATACAGTAAGCCCTTCACATCAGTGTCATGCGACTGTAGTTAATGACGGCGCTTCTCAACTGGTTTCCCTTCAGGACACGGCTGGACAGCACATGTCCCCCAGCACAAAACTGGGATTCTTTATTCATTGTATAAAAATGTACAAAACGTCTTTATAGTCAAACACTGAAATCTATTAATATTATCATGAACAGGACAGGCCTTGTTTTATAGATGATCGACTGGACACACAACCTTCGACATCAACAGGAAAAGAGAGGACGTGTTTCCCCTCAGTTCTGAGAGCTGGCTAAGTCTGGGTTCTGGGTGGTTGCCAGGGTGTCGCTAGGTAGTCATTAGGGGGTTCTGGGTGGTTGCTAGGGTGTTGCTAGGTAGTCATTTGAGGGTTCTAGGTGGTTGCCAAGTAGTCACTGGGGCTTCTAAGATGCTAGATAGCTGTTATGTGTTCTGACTGGTTACTAGGATGTTGCTAGATAATAGGTAGGGGTTCTGGGTGGTTGCCAGGGTGTTGATAGGTAGTCGTTAGGGGGTTCTTGGTGGTTGTTGGGTAGTTGGGGGTTCTAGTTGGTTGCCAGGGTGTTGCTAGGTAGTCATTAGGGGTTCTGGGTGATTGTTAAGTAATCACTGGGGCTCCTGGGTGGTTGCTAGGGAGTTGTTAAGTGTTCTGACTGGTTACTAAGGTGTTGCTAGATAATAGTTAAGGGGTTCTTGGTGGTTGCTAGGTAGTTGTTAGGTGTTCTGACTGGTTACTGGGGTGTTGCTAGATAATAGTTAGGGGGTTCTGGTTGCCAGGGTGTTGCTAGTTAGTCGTTAGGGGGTTCTGGGTGGTTGCCAGGGTGTTGCTGGATAGTCATAAGGGGCTTCTGTGTGATTGCTAGGGTGTTGGTAGTTCTGGGTGGTTGCTATAGTGTTGCTAGGTAGTCATTTGATGGTTCTAGGTGGTTGCTAGGTGTTCTGACTGGTTACTAGGGTGTTGCTAGATAATACTTAGGGGCTTCTGGGTGGTTGCTAGGCAGTTGTTAGGTGGTTATGGTTGGTTGCCAGGGTGTTGCTAGGAAGTTGTTAGGGGGTTGTAGGTGGTTGCTAGGCAGTTGGGAGTTCTGGTTGGTTGTTTGGTGTTGCTCTGTAATTGTTAGGGGTTCTGAGTGATTACTAGGGTGTTTCTAGATAGTAGTTTGTGGGTTTTGGGTGGTTGCTAGGCAGTTGGGGGGGGTTCTGGTTGGTTGCCAGGGTCGTTACTAGGGTGCTGCTAGGAGTTGTTAGAGGGTTCTGCATGGTTGCTAATTAGTTGTTTGAAGGTTCTGTTTGGTTGCTAGGGTGCTGCTAGGTAGTTGTTAGGGTGTTATAGGTGGTTGCTAGGTAGTTGGCTGTTCTGGTTGGTTGCTAGGGTGCTGCTAGGTAGTCGTTAGATGGTTGGGACATCAACAGCAAAAGAGAGTGTTTCTTCTCCGTTCTGCGAGTTGGTAAGTATGTTTTATTTGTTTATGTAGTATGTTTATTTCGAGGCCCAAATGATGCATGATTATATGGTTAGTTGTGTTTTATTATTTGCTTTCATCGCTGTTTCTCACTGCTGAGCAGATTTGAGACCCACCAGATGAGAAGAACTTGTTTACAGCACTATCTATTGTTATATAAATATGATAATATTCAATGACAAACATGATTTAAAGGTGAAAATGAGCAGTGGATGGCTCACCCTGTGGGTCGCTCTGCGTGCCGTTCTCTTCTTTGGCGCTCTCCGGGTCTCCTGAAGAGAAAGCACATGTTCTCATCACACTCGCTGCATTATCTGAGACTCAGATGTTCATGTGAGTGAAAGTGTAAACACCCACACACCTCTCTGGACTTTGAAGCACAGTTTCTTCTTCTGATAGGTGAAGTATCCGGTTATTGCACCAATAGCTGCTACTGCGATCCCACAAACAACACCAACAACCGTACCGGATCCACTGTCTGCAACAGAACCACCCACACCAGGTCAGTCATGTCAGTGTATGTGTATATATGGTTACTCGAGTGTTCTGAGTGGTTGCTAGGGAGTTGTTAGGTAGTTCTGGGTGGTTGCTAGGGAGTTGTTAGGGAGTTCTGCCTAGCTAGGGAGTTCTGAGTGGTTGCTAGGGAGTTGTTAGGGAGTGCTGGGTGGTTGCTAGGGAGTTGTTAGGGAGTTCTGGGTGGTTGCTAGGGAGTTGCTAGGGAGTTCTGGGTGGTTGCTAGTGAGTTCATAGGTAGTTATTAGCCGTTCTGTGAAGTAACTGATTACATGTAATCTGGATTATGTAATCAGATTCCAAAATTAAGTACTTGTAATTAGATTACATTTTAAAATACTCGTAATCAGACTACAGGTACTTTTTTATTGATTACATGATTATATATTATTCACAGAATACAATTAATTATTCATAATTTATTTATTCTGCCTAATTATTTTTTTAATCTTTTAAATGTTCCTTTCTAAAATAGCCTACCGCTTATATACATTCAGAAAATTGTGTGTGTGTATATATATGTGTGTGTATATATATATATATATATATATATACACACTGGGAAACCTTGACGTAATTTCATGTTGTTAATAACAACAAATGGAATATTTATTTTTTCTCTGTTCTTTTTTATATCAATATGGTGATAAACGGGTTATGTAAAAAGTAATCTAAAAGTAATCTGATTACTACTAACGTTACTAACTACAATTTTTGTCATGTAAAATCTGGAATCAGTAATCAGTAACGTATCAGTAAATCACAATTTGTAAGTAATCTACCCAGCACTGGTTGTTAGGGGGTTCTGTGTGGTTGCTAGGGCGTTGCTAGGAAGTCATCTTCAGGTCTGTAGACGTGGTTCTCCTTCTTCAAAGCAAGTCTGTGGGATTTTCTTAACCTGTTTTATTGTCCAGCAGGTGAAAATATTTAGTGTCACTTATAAATATTAATGCTTAGTGATCTGAACAAACCCCTAACACTAATAATGAAATAGTTAAAATTATCCAATTAAAAAATTATTATGAGATAAAAAGTCAAAATTATGACATACTAAGTCAATAAAAAAATCAATTATGACAAAAAGACAAAATTATGATATACTACGTTATGGCAAACAACCTTTTGTCATAATGATATACCTTTTTATCTCATAATTTCAACATTTTATCTCATAATAATTTTAATTAAAAAATTTGATTTCTTTCGATGAAATATGATATTAGTGTGTTTTGTGATATCAATCCCCAAAAAGATAATTCATCATTTTGACTTTATTTCATTATGACATAAACTTTTTATCATAATTATGACTTTTTGTCATAATAATTTTTTTACAACTCATAATTTTGAATTTTATGTCAACATTTTGACTTTTATTTAGACTTTTTTTCCACATTATTTTCTTTCTTCCATTAGGCATGCTAGATTATTTTTAGTCAGAATGTTTTTTTTAATCTCATAATTGTTTTTTTTTTATCTCATAATGTCATAATGACCTTCTCTGTCATAATTTAAATAAAAAAAACTCAATTTTAACTTGTTAGAATTTTGACTTTTTGTTTTGATCTCTCTCTAAACCTGCATTATTTTCTTTCTCCCATGAAACATGTTAGGTTATTTTAGCCAGAATGCTTTTATTTCATAATTTCGATATTTTATCTCATAATGACTTGGTATGTCATAATTGTGACTTTTTGTGTTTTAAAATGTGTTTTAACTACAGAAGTTTTAAGCTTATAAAACAGATAGTTCCGGTCCTTGATTCTGATTGGCTGAGCCGCGTTCGAAGCTGTTGTAAATTACTCTACAAAGTAACACACACCTTTGTTTACGTTTGTGTGTTGCTCGGCAACCACTTTGTAGCAACCACAACTGTTTCTGAGGAACTACATTGTTTGGTGGAAGAATACTGTTTTTATTAACATCATTACACTTTATTTGCTCCGTTTTATTCTGTGAAACCTTACTACGTATATGGAATAGCCGTTTTATAAAAGCAATAAGCTCTGTGAAGCCGTGGTTTACAGTGAATTTATATCAGCTTCGCGTCGTTCCTAAATTCACTGTAAAGCACGGCTTCTTGGGGCTTATTGCTTTATTTTACAGCTGTCAGTTTCTGATATTTCCAGGTTTAGGGGATCCAGCGTATGATATAAAGCAGACGCTTCACGTGGCTACAGGTTGGTTTCTGCTTCAGCATTTATCACAAGCACTAATGCAGCAGCGGCACTTATCAATAGTCTACCCACAATGCTCTGCTGCAGAGAAGCATGGACTGCCGCAGGATTCGACGGAGCGCAGCGAGACTCCACACACACAGTGACAGGAGTGTTTGTGAGGGAAAAGACAGACAGACAAGACTGAACCTGATTTACAGATCCTGCAGGAGATGAAAGAGAGAGAAAGTGCAACAAAAGACGCTCAACAGGAGTTTATTTACTTTAAACGAGGCTTCTGACACTCACTGATTATACAAACTGACCCATGATTATTCTGTCATCATTTACTCTCTCTCGTGTCGCTCCATTACATTTATGCATTTAGCGGATGCTTTTATTTCAAAGTGACTTACAAAAGAGGAACAAAAGCAATTTGTCAAAGAGCCAACGATATTCGCAATAAATTCTGACTGACATCATCTAACATGTTTCATAATAAGGGTTATTTAGATTAGATTAGATTTAACACAATGACAATCAAGTCTAATCTAATCTAAATTACCCTCATACGTCTTATCTTCCACAAAACCTGTTAGATAATATTAGTCAGAATATTTGTTTTATAACGTAACTCTCTAAAGCATGTTTCATAATTTATACTTTTTTCATATTTATGACATTTTGTCAATTTCGATTTGAAATTTCAACTTTTTTTCTAAAAATTATGACTTTTTAAATCTCATAATGTACCTTTTGTCATAATTAAAATTTTATCTCAATTTAGATTTTTTTTATAATTCAAAATGTATACTTTTTGTCATAACTGTAATTTCAACATGTTGCGAGCCTGTATTATTTTCTCAGGCACCAAAAGGGTAATTCATCATTTAGACTTTTTAATTTCATAATTATGACATTTTATGCAAATTTTGACTCATAATTTTTTTCATAATGATGTTTTTTGTCAAATTTTTGACTTTTTATGCCATTTTTTTATTTGTCATAATTTTTTCTTAATCTTGTAATTGACTTTTTACTCTCATAATTGACTTTTTGTCATCATTTTTACTTTTATCTCCTAATTTTGATTTTTTTAATCTTATAATTTTAATTTAATGTCATAAATTTGACTTTTAATTTCAACAAAACTTGTACTTTTTCTTCTATGAAACATGTTAGATTATTTTAGTCAGAATGTTTGTGTTTTATAACATAAATCTAAAAAGGATAATCCATGATTTACTTTCCATTTCATAATTAGGACATTTTATGTCATAATTTTGACTCAAAATTTCGACTTGTTTCTCATAATTATGACCTTTTATCTGGTAATTTAGATTTTTTTTTAAGTCATAATTTTAGCTTTTTGTCAACATTTTGATGTCTTCATTTCAACATGTCACTCCAAACCATATTATTTCCTTTCTTCCATGAAACGTCAGAAAGTTTGTGTTTTATAACGTCAAATGAGACGGTGCCAGGTTTTACATCACTGGTTCCTGCATGCGCTGAATGCAAACGTGACGTGTGTAACAGCCGATCACTGTTTGTTCTGAACACATGAAGCAGAATCAGTGACGAGCAGATCTTTGTGTCTGTTAGACTGCGTGGGACGGCAGATATTACAGACGATTAACTGGAGATGATCATCATGTCATTACTGGTGTTTGTTCAGTCAAGCATCACTGTTACTAGTGCTCAGTGTTAGGGGTTTGTTCAAAACACTAAGTATAAGTACTTATGAGTAACCCTATATATTATTAATATTTTCACCTGCTGGACAATGAAACCGTTTTTTAAAAATCCCACAGACTTGCTTTGAAGAAGGGACCCGAGCCACATCTACAGACCTTAAGATCAGAGAGATGCGAGGGGTGAACAACCCAGAACCCCCAACAACTACCTAGCAACACCCTAACAACCACCCAGAACCCCCTAATGACAACCTAGGAACACCTAGAACCCTCTAATGACTATTCAGCAACACCCTAGTAACCACCCCACACCTCCTAACTACCACCCAGAACCTTCTAACGACTACCCAGCAACACCCTAGTAACCACCCAGAACCACCTAATTACCTAACAACCACCCAGAACTCCCTAATTACCTAGCAAACACCCAAAACCCATAATGACAACCTAGCAACACCCTGGTAACCACCGAAATCCCCCTAACAACTACTTAGCAACACCCTCGTAACCACCCAGAACTCCCAAACAACTACCTAGTAACCACCCCAATACCCATAACAACAACCTAGCAACCACACAGAACCTTCTAACAACTACCTAGCAACACCCTAGTAACCACTCGGAAAACTCTAACAACTACCTAGCAACCACCCAAAACCCCATAATGACTACCCAGCAACACCCTAGTAACCACCCCACACCTCCTAACTAACTAGCAACCACCCAGAACCTTCTAACGACTACCCAGCAACACCCTAGTAACCACCAGGACCACCTATCTACCTAGCAACACCCTAGCAACCACCCAGAACCTTCTAACGACTACCTAGCAACGCCCTAGTAACCACCAGAACCACCTAACTACCCAGCAACACCCTAGTAACCACCAGGACCACCTATCTACCTAGCAACACCCTAGCAACCACCCAGAACCTTCTAACGACTACCTAGCAACGCCCTAGTAACCACCAGAACCACCTAACTACCCAGCAACACCCTAGTAACCACCAGGACCACCTATCTACCTAGCAACACCCTAGCAACCACCCAGAACCTTCTAACGACTACCTAGCAACGCCCTAGTAACCACCAGAACCACCTAACTACTCAGCAACACCCTAGTAACCACCCAGAACCACCTAACTACCCAGCAACCACCCAGAACCCTCTAAGAACTCTTAGCAACACCCTAGTAACCACCCCGAACCCCCTACCAACAAGAATCCACCCAGAACACTCCAGCACTTTGACTTTCTCACAAATGTAACACTTAAGAAATATTTGTTTCTATGATGTAGTTGAACGATATGATACCGTTCGACTCAGAAACGGCTCCGGCGCTGCGAGCTGTAATGAGAGAGAAAACATAACGAGATTCAACACAGATATTGCCAATAACGATTTCTGTGTGATATGAAGAAAACACAAATACCCTGCTTTCTTTGTTTATTTTAGATGCTTTTTGCTGCACACATTTAGCCAATGTATTGAGTATAATGCATTGCTTACAATATTTTATTTTTATTTTATTTATTTATTTTTTTTATTATTATTTCCAGGAAATGCTTTATACATCAGTATCTCTGATGCCTAGAAGCCCAGAGCTGAAATCCTGATTATTCTATGCATTTATACCATTTATATGATTTAATATGCTTATACTATATACATGTTTTAATTGATTACAAAAACTGCCTACCAAGGTTTTAATCTTTAGTGTCTCAAGACCTTGAGCAAGAACAAGTAAGCATTATAATTTAGGCCAGACTCAGTTTACTTCATTTAACCTGAGAATAATGCATAATAAGATTAAAGGCGTTAAGACTAAAGCATGCACTGCAAAAAGATCACGTAAATATGACTAAATGATATAAAACACAAAGTCCGTACCTTTGTCTTGACCTGCGCTGTGCCGGTCTGCATCTCCCATTGCATTCTCTACTGTAATCAAATATATAATTAACATGACGCAAACTCTGAAATGTATTGATTCTATACTGAATATGGAAACTTCATTCATTTAGAATCGAGCTGAATTTGTACATTGTGTTTATATATGATATAATTTCAAAGCAGCTTTTAAGAGAAACATTGCATGTTTATGGACATGCTAAACTTTGAATACAATAGATTGTTACCTGGATCCTCTGGTTGTGCTTTCTCTTCTGTAAAGTAAATGATAAATGATATGCTGATATTTGCACACACTGCACATAAGTTTAGCTTCATCTTACTCTGAATCACTAATCATCTCTTTTAATTGACAGTTTTGACTGGCCGTACCAGGAGCAGCAGATAAATGAAGTGTGTGATCACTAACAAGGAACTGAGTGCAGTAATCAGACACACACCACTGAATCTGTTCCAGTTCAGTCATGCGTTATGTGAGCGCTTGAAATGCACTCAAACCGTCGAGATGCGGGGATTTTTTCATGCGCAGTGCTGTGTGAGGCGTCATATGTGTAAAGTCATTGGACGAGGCTAACGAGGTTTGGAAATTACATGCAAGCACGAATTATATGGTGCACTGACTGTCAAGAGATTGGAATAATTAAGATATTTTCAATGTTTTTGAAAGAAGTCTCTTCTGCTCACCAGGGCTGCATTTATTTGATCAAAAATACTGTCAACATTGTGAAATATTATTGCAATGTAAAACAGCCGTTTTCTATGTGAATATCTGTTAAACTGTAATTTATTTCTGTGCTCAAAGCTGTATTTTCATCATCATTACTCCAGTCTTCAGTGTCACATGATCTTCAGAAATCACATTTCTGATTATTATCAATGTTGAATGTTATTCACATAAATAAATTACAGTTTAACAGATATTCACATAGAAAACGGCTGTTTTAAATTGTAATAATATTTCACAATTTTTACTGTATTTTTAAAAATAAATTCAGCCTCGGTGAGCAGAAGAGACTTCTTTCAAAAACATTAAATAATTGTAATTATTCCAAACGTTATAGACTCATAGAGAAGCTCAAGACTAATGGATGCCGTCTCTGTTAAATGATGGAGAATGTAAGTATAATTCATCATTAATGTACTGACACGCAACAACACAGCTTTACGGTATTAACCGTAACAGTCAGGGATTGTTTTATTTTCCACTGTAATTCCAGATTTAAATCACCCAAAAGATGCACTAAAGCTTTGTGATGATCTCTTACCTATATCTTCATCGAAAGCATCAGCAAGATCAAATCCTACAGAATGAACAGGAGAAACACAAAAGCACATGTAAACACGCAGCTGAATGTGACGGACAGTAAACCGCAGCAGGGCGAGATGATCTGACCCTAAAGACTTAATTAAAGGACAGACAGTCAAACCTTCCACTGAGTCCACAGGTTCCTCCAGTACAGCGGTCGAGTCTAGGACAAAATACAATATGAAAATAATTATAATCCACAAAAACCATCCAAGTCACGTTTCACAACACAACCTGTCATTTGATTATTTATTTTCATGACTATTAGGCTTTTTCAACCAAATTCTCATTACTGTAATATGTACTGACAAGATTTTAATTCCTATTTTTATAATTATTATTATTATAATAATAATAACGACTACCCAGCAACACCCTAGTAACCACCCAGAACCACCTATCTACCTAGCAACACCCTAGCAACCACCTAGAACACTCTAACGACTACCCAGCAACACCCTAGTAACCACCAGAACCACCTAACTACCTAGCAACACCCTAGTAACCACCCCGCACCTTCTAACTACCTAGCAACACCCTAGTAACCACCAGGACCACCTAACTACCTAGCAACACCCTAGCAACCACCCAGAACCACCTACCTACTCAACAACACCCTAGTAACCACCCAGAACCACCTAACTACCCAGCAACACCCTAGTAACCACCAGGACCACCTAACTACTCAGCAACACCCTAGTAACCACCCAGAACCACCTAACTACCTAGCAACACCCTAGTAACCACCCAGAACCTTCTAACGACTACCCAGCAACACCCTAGTATCCACCAGAACCACCTAACTACCTAGCAACACCCTAGCAACCACCCAGAACCTTCTAACGACTACCCAGCAACACCCTAGTAACCACCCAGAACCACCTAACTACCCAGCAACCCCCCAGAACCCTCTAAGAACTCTTAGCAACACCCTAGTAACCACCCCGAACCCCCTAACAACAAGAATCCACCCAGAACACTCCAGCACTTTGACTTTCTCACAAATGTAACACTTAAGAAATGTTTGTTTCTATGATGTAGTTGAAGGATATGATACCGTTCGACTCAGAAACGGCTCCGGCGCTGCGAGCTGTAATGAGAGAGAAAACATAACGAGATTCAACACAGATATTGCCAATAACGATTTCTGTGTGATATGAAGAAAACACAAATACCCTGCTTTCTTTGTTTATTTTAGATGCTTTATTTTTATAATTATTATTATTATAATTCCTATTTTTCTTAACAATGAATCTCATTAGACTTTAATTACTGTAATACAATATTTAAAAACAAAATCAACATACATAAACTACAGAGCAACAAATACTCAAATTAAATAAATACTGTAATTAAATTAAATAATAGGTCGTTTTTTCATATGTCAGTCGTGAGAATTTGGAGGGAAAATATGCTTAATTTTCACAAAAATTATGTAAATATAAATGTAACAAAAATATATTTGTTAAATATAATATGCTATTTTTTTCTTTTGTTTATGGGCGAATAATATGTAGGGTTTTTTTTCTACCATGACAGTAATGAGAATTCGGAGGAGAAAATGTGCTTATTGTCACAAAAAATAATGTAAATATAAATGTACCAAAAACATATTTTAAAAATAAACATGCGTAATTTTTTTGTTAAATATAATATCACGTTTTTTCCTTTTGATTGTGGGCAAATAGTTTTTCTTACATGACAGTAATGAGAATTTTATATATATATATATATATATATACACAATTTAACGTTTAAATGTTTATATTACATATAATCTGTTTTTTCTTTTGATTATGAGCGAATAATAGGTTGTTCTTTTAAATGACAGTACTGAGAATTTAGAGGGAAAAATGTGTATAATTGTCACAAAAATAATGTAAATATAAATATAACAAAATTATATTAAAAAAATTAAGCTGCGTAATTTATTTCTGTTAAATATAATATCCTATTTTTTCTTTTGATTATGGGATAATGTGACCCGGCTTGTTTTATAAAGTAAATAATGTGAAATATGAACAGAATTTGTTATACTGTTTATTTTCTAAAACATGCTGGATTAAAGCAAATGCTAATGTAAGTTGTTCCTGTAATAAGTTTAATACTGACATTGTTTCAGATACAGAGGAAATGATTGTGAATCTCCTGAGAGAAACGCACCTGTTTCACCTGCATCTGCATCTTCTTCACCTGCAGACAAACAATCAAACTGACTAAATTATATTTTCAATTAACAATTTATTCACTCTGTCAAAGGACAGATGTGATTCTGCCTTAGAATTTGGTCAAAATGAGGAACCTTATAGGCAGCATAATCACGATGCCTTAAAATGCTCCCTACATAGGCAACACACTAGGTTTTGGAACTCAGCCCTGAACCGCAGAGGAATATGTGAATTCATTTCACAAAGAGCAGGTTGTATTGAGTCCTCGAGTCTATTTTAACATTCCCAGCATTCACACACTCACACTCACACTCACACTCACACA